CCCCGCCCTCCCACCCTATCCCTTTCCCTGTCCCTCGTCCCCGTCACCCCAGGGGCCCTCTTGTCTTTTGAGTCTCCACTCGGCGCGAGCGCTTTATCGGCGACGCAAATCTTCTCGCTCGCTCTCTGTCATTATCGCGCTTATTAATCTAAGACCGTAGGACTCGTCCGGCTTTCTAATAACAGTTTTTTTCCACGCGGCGCGCGAGTCGGAATTAAGTGACCGGGTGATCGGTCATTACCGGGCGCGATCCCTCATCCCTCCCCCGCCATCACCACGCCCATCGCTTTAAAAGCATTTGGCTTTGGACACCGATAAATCGCTCCTCCTCCCTCTCATCTCGGGAAATTAAAATGGGAAGGCGCGAGCGCACTCTCTTCGCGATCGGCAGATGGCTTAAAGTGTTTCAGATGATTGGAGGAAGCTGCAAGGGCGCGAAGCGGTTGGTATTAACTCGCGGCCCTGCATTCGCAGTATCCCTCGAAAATGCGCGATTAACGACGAAAAGATTAACGCTCGTCCGTGCCAAGCCATTAACTTATTAAGGGCAGCCGGTAGTTTCCGGGACGATAAATCCATACATTATTTAATATTTAAATGCCGTTAATCGGTAATCAGTCATATGCACGCCGCATATTCCTTATTAATCAATGAGAATTTCAGCAGGTAAAGAAAGACGATCGGAGAGACGGATCGATCATGATAATAATAATGAACAGTTAGATAGAAGTTTATATTACAAGTTGGGATCATTAAAAGTGAGTTTGATTAATTTTTATTAGCAAATCAGGCTACTACATGCGCGTAATAAACTTTTCAATAATTCGTTCATTCTTGCTACGTAATAACTCCTTCGTTCGACTTTTCACGAGTGCTCACGTATGAGCACCCACACCAATACAAACGACATATCTTTTTTTTATTCGGACAGCTTCTTGACGCGTTTTAATTTAAAATCCGATGAAAATGCTAGCGCGAAAGGGATGAGTCGGCGCGCGTGCGTGTCCACACACGGGCAGATATGTGTGTGTGTGTGTGTGTGTGCGCGCGCGCGCGCGTGTGTGTAAATAGAGAGAAAGAGAGAGATAGTCACGTATCCATAACTATTACAATTATACTGTATACAGCACATGTACGTAGCGTCACAAGATGCATAATATGAGAGAGAGAGAGAGAGAGAGAGAGAGAGAGAGAGAGAGCAAGGGAATGGATAATAAGTAACGCCATGCAGAAGGGAATCTCGTTGCCTCTATTCTTCTCGGTACTCTTTCTCATCTTTCACTTCTTTCATCTCCCTCTCTCCCCTTTCTACCATAGTTGCATCTATCACTCCCATTGTCTCTCTTATTGTCGCGCGCGCGCGCGCGCGCACACACACACACACACACACACACATACATGCACGCGGATTTGTTCACTCGCTCACTTACTCACCCTCGCGACGTTGACGCTACTCCAGTGTCTCGCTTGGAAACCTTGGATCTTGTCTGACTATGGGAGTCTGATTCTTTCCCCATTAATTAGAACAGGGCTAGCCGCATTAAAACACGACTCTTGGCTAATGACACCCGCGCTTGTTTTTCCATGCACTGGACCCGCGAGAAAACGCGTACGGCCGTCGGTGCGCTGCGAAAAAACAGGAACAGAGAAGGAGAGAGAGATAGAGAGAGATAGAGAGAGAGAGATAGAGAGAGAGAGAGAGAGAGAGCGAGAGAGTGAGAGTAATAAGCGGTGAGGGGAAAGCTCCGTTAGGAGTCGCGCCGTCCATCGCCACCTTTCTCTCGGCTTTTCCAGCTGGGTCAGCGTTGCGCATCGGCGCATTGCGCGTGCGTGTCCCATCGTTAATGCGTTCGGGCGTCCTTTTAAATTAATAAGTCAACGGCGATTAATCGAAATGGATCCGGCCTCTGGTCTATTTGCGCGTGTCCGTTCGGCAACACTCGGCCTCCCCGAAACAGTCGAATTATACGGCCCGAGGAGAGCGCGTAGATGTGCAAACCGCGGGAGCAGAAGGCCATTGCGGGATGGAGGGGGTGGGGGATAGGATGAGGGAAGCTGCGACTGTAGCGTCGAAGAAAATAGCTCGCGGACGGCGAAAATACTCGCTCCTACTTGTCGCGCTGCTCACGAGCTCGAACAGTCTCAAAAGAAAAAATAAAAGAAAAAAATCAATTCCCCCTCTATCGCCCTGTGTCCCGCTAATTTTTTCAATTCGAGTTACGCTGGACGATCAAAAATATTCCAAATAATAATGTTTCTCAAATGGATAGTTCCGAGCTAAAATAGGCGAGTATGGGAAGGCCATGATCTCCTATTGGACGAAAGATCGACGAGGAATAAAAAAAGAAGGTGAATGACCGTAACCGTGTTCGTTAGTTGGTTAGTTCGTTAGCTCGTTCCAGCCGAAATTAAAATGAAAAGCCAAGGAGATCCGTAGGCGTCTTAAACGCTTGTGCGGTCGGCGCTTCCAGTCGCTGTATTAATTGCAATCGATTGTGTCAAGCAACTGGCATTTTTCATCGCTACTCGCCCTCTCACTCACTCACACACTCACTCACTCACTCACTCACTGACTCTGTGGGCGCAGTCGAGCGCCGCCTGACGACGATGCGATCCATATTCCGGACGTGGAAGTCGCAGGCGCTTCGATCGCTTCTTTTCCATCGCGCGGCCCCGGCGACAAACCGCCCGTCCTTCCTCCGCGGCGCTTTATTGCCGCGCGAAGAATGCGACGCCGGTAAGATCGGCTCGATCGAATTACAAATTGCCTCGCATCCGATAGTCGAGCTGCTCCAGCGAAATAAAACTTTAAAACTTTATACGGTCCCAGGCGCGTTCCTGCTTTTTGCGCCTCGCCGACTGCCGCTGCTCCGTGCAACTAATAAATCTTTTGCGATTATGCCTGAAACAGTTTTGCAATGCCAATACAAAGAGGTA